CCCAGCCAGCCCCACACCCGCCAACTCTACTCCATTCAGGCCACCACCAGGAAACCCCCCACCGCCAGCCCGCTACAATGGCAGGGCCAACATACAATGCCATACCTGCCGGCAGTGGGGGCATATGTCCCGGGAGTGCACCCAGAATCGGAGCAGGCAGGCGTGGAACCAGGTATGGCAAAACTCCGCTCCAAGGGCGGCGGCCCATTTTTACCACACAGAACCTGACCACTCGGAGCTGGCAAGTCTACAAACTGAGGAACCATTGGGGGTTCTGTATGAAGTGATGTCTGTGCAAGCCACGGACAACCGGCAGCATCACCGCCAAGTTGTGATTGTGGGAGGGAAAGAAGTGCAGGGGCTGTGGGACTCGGGAGCCACCTTGACCCTAGTGGCCCCCCATTTAATTCCAGATGCGGCCCACACTGGCGGATCAGTGGCGGTCCGGGTAGCAGGGGGAGCCATGTACCGGTTACCCACGGCCAAGGTGCATTTGAACTGGGGTGCTGGGGAGGGGGTTGTGGAAGTGGCCATAATGAAGAAATTACCGGCCGATGTTGTTTTGGGGAATGACTTGGGCCAGATGACTTCTGCTTTTCTACCCCAGGCCCCTTCACAAGAGGCGCATCCGGTAACCACCCGGCAACAGGCTCGCACCACGGCATCTCCCGCACACTCTGAGGCGCAGGTAAGACACCATGACCCCCCCTTGACAGACATGACTTGGGACACCCCGACCACTTTTGAAGCTGAGGTTCAGACTGACCCCACACTGCAGGTGTACCGAGATAGGGTAGACACGGACCAGGTGGGGCGGGAGGGAGAACGGTACGTGTGGGAAAAGAAGTTACTGTACCGGGTGGCAGAAAGGGCAATAGGCAATTCTGTGACGCTCCAAACCAAACAGCTGGTAGTGCCCCAGAAGTATAGGCAGGAGTTACTTAGAATAGCCCATGATATCCCTCTGTCTGGCCATTTAGGAATGACCCGGACCCGGTATCGCTTAACGCACGCTTTCTTTTGGCCCGGGATTTCTAAAGACGTGAGGCAATATTGTACCTCCTGTGATGTGTGCCAGAGGGTAGGCAAAAGGGGGGATCGCCACAAGGCAAAACTATGTCCCCTACCTATAATTGAGGAACCGTTCAGCCGTGTAGCAGTAGATATAGTAGGGCCCCTACCAAAACCCAGCCCCTCTGGGAAACGGTATATCCTGACCGTGGTGGATTACGCCACCCGGTACCCCGAGGCGATTGCCCTAACTAATATACACGCTGAGACCGTAGCCGAAGCCTTGATGAAGATATTCTCCCGAGTAGGGTTCCCACAGGAAATGGTCTCCGATAGGGGGACCCAATTCACAGCTGAGGTTACTCAGCAGTTATGGAGGATATTTGGCATTAAGCCGATCATTAACTCCGCATACCACCCGCAATCCAATGGATTATGTGAGAGATTCAACGGTACCCTAAAACAGATGCTCCGGACATTCGGAGAGACCCATAAGGACTGGGAACGATTCCTTCCCCATCTGTTGTTTGCGTACAGAGAGGTACCCCAAGAGTCTACGGGTTTCTCCCCATTTGAACTGTTGTTTGGGAGAAGGGTCCGGGGACCGTTGGATCTCATTAGAGAACATTGGGAGGGAGAGAGCAGCGCAGATGGGACCCCTATTGTACCATACGTGCTGGCGTTCCGGGATCGCCTGGAGGAATTGACCCAGGCAGTGCGCACCAACCTCCAGGCCGCCCAACAACGGCAGCGTCGTTGGTATGACAGAGGGGCCAGAGACCGTAGTTTTCAAGTGGGACAGAAGGTGCTAATCCTCAAACCTGTCCGCACCGATAAACTGCAGGCCGTCTGGCAGGGCCCATACCAGGTGGTAGAGCAGAGATGCGGCACCACCTATGTGATCGGCCCGTGCTCCGGAGTAGGGAAGAGACACATGCTCCATGTGAATATGCTCAAACCCTACCACGAGCGAACTGAGGACGTGGCAGCTATCTGCACGCCCGCCTCAGAAGATCAGGAGAACTTGCCTCTCCCAGATCTATTAGAGCAGGAGGAGCAGAAGGAACCCTCCCAGGGGGTTCAGCTGGGGGAGCGGCTAAGTCCTCAAGAGCGTACCCAGGTACAAGAATTGATAGCGGCCAAGAGTGCCACCTTTTCTAACTTACCTGGGTACACGCCCCTAGCCACTCACCGAGTAGAAACCCCGGGACAGCTTCCCATGCGACAAACCCCATATCGGATTCCTGAATCCGTGCGGGAACATATGAGGAAAGAGATTGAGGAGATGTTGCAGTTGGGGGTTATCGAACATTCAGATAGCCCCTGGGCATCGCCGGTAGTCCTGGTTCCCAAGAAAGATGGTACCACCCGGTTCTGCGTGGACTACCGGAGGTTGAACGACAAAACTGTGTCGGACGCCTACCCGATGCCTCGGATAGACGAACTGCTTGATAGGATGGCCAGGGGTCAGTATCTCACTACCATAGATTTGTGTAAGGGATACTGGCAAATTCCACTAGCCGAGGACGCCATCCCTAAGTCGGCGTTTGTCACCCCGTTTGGCTTGTACCAATTTCGAGTCATGCCATTCGGGATGAAGAACGCCCCCGCGACATTCCAGCGGATGGTGGATCGGCTACTGGACGGGTTCCAGGACTATGCGTGTGCATACCTGGACGATATTGCCATCTACAGTCAGACCTGGTCGGAGCACCTACAACACATAGGGGCGGTAATAGATCGGATCCGAGAGGCAGGGCTTACCTTGAAACCCAGCAAATGCCACATAGGGATGGCAGAGGTCCAGTACTTAGGACACCGGGTTGGTAGCGGGCAGCAGAAGCCTGAGCCCGCAAAGATTGAAGCTGTAGCCCAGTGGCCTACCCCTAGGACCAAAACCCAATTCCTTGCTTTCCTAGGTACCGCAGGGTATTACAGAAAATTTGTGCCAAATTACAGTGCTCTGGCCAAACCCCTGACTGATTTGACGAAGAAAAACCTGCCCAGGCAGGTCGTCTGGGCCCCAGAGTGTGAACAGGCATTCAACCAACTGAAGACGGCTCTGACCAATGCCCCTGTACTGGCTGCTCCTGATCCAACAAAACGTTTTCTTGTTCACACAGACGCCTCGATGTTTGGATTGGGAGCAGTACTGAGCCAGGTCGGAGCCGATGGCGGAGAACACCCCGTAGCATACTTGAGTCGGAAATTGTTACCCCGAGAGGTGAGCTACGCCGCCATAGAAAAAGAATGCCTGGCCGTGGTGTGGGCCCTGAAAAAGTTACAGCCATATCTCTATGGGCAACCCTTTTCTTTGCTCACAGATCACAACCCGTTGGTGTGGCTAAACCGTGTGGCTGGAGACAATGCCAGGCTGCTGCGCTGGAGTTTGGCGCTGCAGCCCTTTGACTTTACAATTCATTATCGCCCAGGGAAACAAAACGGTAACGCCGACGGGTTGTCCAGACAAACAGACCTTGAGAAATGATCTGTGAGCACTCCTCCGGACATCCCCAAGCCGATCCGTTGGGATCAGACTGTGTATGCCGGCTTGGTTCTGGGGGAGCATTGTGGCAAACCTAGCCACTTAGACTATAATTGGAGACTGTGCCTTTAAGGGTTGCCAATAGGTCTGGCGAGATATGCGCTTTACACTTATGTATATGCTAATGTATTTTCTGTATTGCCTGTACTGCTGTTTCCGCCGAATGCAAATGGCGGTTTTGTATGGGGATTTTCTTTCGTTTCACGAACGGCACTTTAGAAAGCCGTTCGTGAACCGAACGCGATACCCCCTAATAGCCCACACACTTAGAGGCGTGTGGCGCTAATTAACCGATTGAAACATTGTTGCAATCGGTTATTAGAGGCTCTCCTGGGTGGCCGTCGTTCGACTACCGACCATGCGGCGGTCGGCCATCTTGGATCCTTTGTTCCTCAGCGGGACCAAGTTGTCGAACGCATAGTATTACCAATAGCTATTCGACGGCACGAACCCCGCTGAGCCTCCAGGACGTTCGGGAGTTTCAGGATCATGTTCACTAGAAGTAATCGGTTCTTTTCGTATGTTTTAAAAGAAATGTGTTTTCTGTGCGGCGTTCGGTTATTTTAGCTGGGATCTGAGCGGCAATCTCACGAATGATGCGCTCAGACCCCAGCTATCTACCGAACGTCCGTTCGTGTAAATCCACCGTGTATTTAACCAGTTATGTATTTTTGTATAAATTGTCGGTTCTGCTGCACGAGGGGATAATCCCCTTAACGGTGCATTCTGGGAGGATGATCCCTCTCGTGCAGCGGTGCCTGATGGGAAAAATATGTTGTCGTGTAAGTCCCCCATGTAGTCCCCTCTGGGAGTGCCCCTGGGGAGGGACTCAGGAAACCCCTTGCATGGGGACTTGTATAAATTGTCCTGCCGATTAAAAGGATTTCAGTTGACTCCCAAAACTGTGTCTCGTCCGGTTATTGGGAGGTTGGGGATATTGCCTTGTTGTTTTCAGCACTTGACTGTGGATTCGTTTCTGAACCAGCGGAATTCGTGGATTTATTATTGGCGTTCCGCTACATTCAGTATTTAAAAAATCTTCGAACTTTTAATGTTACAAACTCCTGACTTGGTTTTTACTGTGACTATTGAAAATCCCCCAAACTTTCTCAAAATTCCATCATTCCGCTTCAACAAAGTAAAACATAACTGCCAGTATTTTGACCATCTTGCCCTTGTCTGCTCATGTCTTCTTCCTGCAAAGTCTGCATGGACATCCGATTGACCAACACTTTGTTTTCAATGTTCAAATACTTCACTACAAATCCCTCCAGAACCCAAGCATCAATGTATTCTTTGTTTTGCCTAAGCATAGACATCATCCTGCACCCTATCAGATATATTACAAATAGTGATGTCCCGAACGGTTCGCCGAACGGTTCGCCACGAACGGTTCACCGCGGACTCATCATTGAGTAAACTTTGACCCTGTACCTCACAGTCAGCAGACACATTCCAGCCAATCAGCAGCAGACCCTCCCTCCCAGACCCTCCCACCTCCTGGACAGCTCACTAAGAATGCAGCTTCACAATGAATGTAAAATGGATGCTGTCCAGGAGGTGGGAGGGTCTGGGAGGGAGGGTCTGCTGCTGATTGGCTGGAATGTTTCGGCTGACTGTGAGGTACAGGGTCAAAGTTTACTCAATGATGAGTCTGCGGCGAACCGTTCGTGGCGAACCGTTCGGGACATCACTAATGACAAATTGAGTTTCATTCTGCTTGGTTGTACGTTCTGTGTGCTATGTTCATTTTTATAATGTTTTTGTGCTCTCTTTATATACTGTAATTGAAAGGACAAGTTCAAGTTGGGGGAGGAAGCCTTGGAGGAAAGTGTCACCCATCAACATAGAGTGCAAAAAGTTAGGAGATGTCATCAGATACAGTCTGACTAGTAGAGAATTGTCTGAATGTCCCAGACAAGGATTAAGATCCCATAGGGTTCTAGGAAGGTTACCAGTTTGATCCTTCATTCATTCTTCACATAGCATGGTTAATGAGGACATGCAAATTTATGGTTCCTGGGCCCCTGTCTAACCTTTGGGCCATAGGCGGCTACTTAGAGTCACCTTACATTATCATACTGCAAGGGCCAGGAAACAGAAATATAGGAATGGCAATGCTACGAAACTGTTATAGAAAGCACTGGCTGTCGTATGATTATCTATGACAATGATAACAATTGCGCTCCAGATATTTGTGCTGGAACAACAAATCCAATCCATAGAGGCCTCACCTAACAACTTGCAGGATTTAAAGGACCACTCCACAACCCTAAAGCACTACAGCGGGGTGAAGTGCTTTATGGGTGAGGAGTATCCCAGTTTAACCCCATTTTATAGAAGTGCTGATTTCTATGAGAAATAAGCATTTTTATAAATTAACTAGGGAACACCTCCTGGCTGGCATGCTCTACTTCAGTACACTCACTCAGACCAGCTCCTCCAAAACTCAGAGCAGATGAGCGCGCATGCACGAGCTGTGTGTGCGTGCACATTTGCACCACTTCAAGGCTTATCAATGAGAAGGTTCTGATTGCTATTTCCCTGTGAAGTGACTGAAAGTCTCTTCCAGTAAAAAAAAGGGCAGGGCTTGCTAAGTTCATAAAATCTGCAGCCTTTGCAAGCTATTTTAACATATAACCCCAATATATACATGCATGAAAAAATAATACATGTATTCATTGGCGCTATACCTACTAAACAGTGTTTATTTATTTATTTGCCCATTTGGGCAGTGCAGTGTTCCTTTAAAAGATCTGCTTATGTCTTTGTGCCGGATACCACAGGACACGGTTAGAGGTCTTGTGGAGTCCATGCCTCGATGCATCAGAGCTGTTTTAGCAGCACGAGGGGGACTTACGTGATATTAGGCAGGTGGTTTTAATGTTGTGGCTGATCAGTGTCTATATGAGGATAGCACAGTTGGAAGAATTATCAAATTGTGCTGTGTTGCATATTTTTTTCTGCCTGTAAGGGTTATTCACTAAAGGGAAAATTGCAGGGACTTCAAAGTGGATTTTAAGTTTAAGGCAAATATAGCTGAAACAGAAAAATTCTCCCAGTCAGCTGTGCTTCAGTTTGGCTACTTTGACCGTAAATTTTAAATTCACTTAGAATTTACTGCAATTCTCACATTAGTACACAGCCCTGTAACCACCGAATATGCCTTTTTTGTTTTATTTTTGAAATTAATATAATTCACTGTATATTGCATTAAGTCTGAAGCAGGCTCATGCGTTGACCACTGCAGAAGTTACCAAGTGGTTTCCTGTGGTTTAGAGCTTCGTCCGGTGGAGCTGGTTACTAAATTATATTTTATCTGCAACAGATGTTTCATAAACGTGCGGTGTAGAAGTTTTTTATGCAACTGTCAGAGCAACCTAAGAATAACGTGGTTCTGAAACCTTAAATCATATAGATCTAAAACCGTATGTTGGATTTTCCCTTAAGCTTCAGAGCGAAACGAAGAGCCCGTTGATGTCCTACAGACGAGCTGTGAATGTCACTGGCTGTATGTACGTTGACTTCCGTGACGTTGCATGACAAGAAGAAAGCAGCTGTTCCTTCTGAGAGCATGTTTAGGCTGAGCTGAAACTGTGCTATAGATAGATTCACATGTGCAACCACTGGTCGTCTGCCATGTTTATTCCACCATCCAGACGGAAAACGGTGAGTCTAATCTCCCTTGGTATTGATAGGACTGAAGCCCTAATAAGTAATGTCTCTCGTTCAGTGTCTTTGTTTTCAGATTTCTTTTTCTCTTGTCTGCACTTTTGTATCTGACTAGCAAAACTGCCCTTCATTCTCTTTGCCCCAACACCACATAAATATTGTTTGTAAGATTATTGAGATTGTACACAAGCTTCCTATTAATTTATGTAATCAGATAACATTTGAAAACATTTTCTGAGCAAAACACAAGCAATCTTCCAGATAGCAAACGTTTGAATGAAATAGTTTATATATGAACTAGACTAAACTCTTAGTTGGTGTGAGAACGTAGATTTTAAAGGACACTCCAGACACCTACAACACTTCGGTTTGCTGAAGTGCTTTATGTGTGAAGACTGTGCAGGATTCAATAGAAATTTACAAAACAAATTAACGTTGTTACACCTCCTTGGCTGTCACTCGCGCAGCTGAGCCTGTTACTTCCTGGTCTCCTGGTTGAGCTAAACTCAAGAGGCAGCAATAGTCCAGATCACCTGCCTTGCAGAGACCTCTCATTGAGCTCCAGTGGGAAGTCTCTGATTGGACAACCAGAGAATGTCTGGGCAGAGTAAGAAGGGAAGGACTTGCAAAGGGAACTGCAGTGCTTAGAATGTTTCGTTAATTCAGCTCATTCTCAAGCTGAATGAAGGGCAGCAGCTGAAATCCAAGACTGTAACCTAAACTAATGTTGTGCAGCTCTGGGACATCACTGCGTGCTCAAACATAATTTTTCCTTTACTGTCTTTCCAAGAATGCATGATCACCCATGCGCTACTTGCCATGGTACCACATTGAGCAACATCTGAACACATGATTGCTTTGCTTAGCTGGTGTGTCGTTACACCCACTGGTTTTATGAGAAAGTGTTAACATTATATCTGCACGCCTCCTTAGACAAATGAACGCTAATAATATTCAGAGACCACCCATTCCTCATGGACAGTCACCGTCCAAAATACCATCCTCTATAATTTCATACACATTCCCTCTCCCTTTGTACCCCAAGTCCTCTGCATTATTTTCCTCCTGAACCATGCACAGCTCACTCTAACTCCCACTTTCTCAGCCATGCGTATCATGATAACCTAGGCGTCTGATTTTTTTAAGACTGTTTTCTTTGGGCTGTTATTGAGTGACACTGTTGCTTCATGTGAACGTCAGCTAGTTGGATCATTCATCCTCCGCCCCCCATGTGGCCATTGTGTGAGCTGATAGAAAGGCTAGTGGTATCAGCATTTCTATTGCTTACATTTAGGACATTGCTCTAAATTGTGCTGATGTTGAGGGCACACCCACGCTATAATTACTAACATAAACAAGGCTTGAAGATTAACATTATCTAATCCTGCTTGGTGCCAAATGTTAAGAGGGAGCTCAATGACTGGACTGCCAGACGTCGCATACCACTGGCACCTTATATGCACTCTTCAGAGCTACCATTGGGTTAACTTTATTAATTGTTGGATACTGGCTGTTGCAGCGGCGCCGCCATCAGACATGGCTTGGGAACAACCGTCTGCTCCTGCCTCCTGCAATACTGCTGCATTACATCAAGGGTAATTCACAATTGTATCAGTTTGAAAGAAAGGATGCAAAGAAAAAGGAAATAAGAAAAAGACAGACAGATTGATTCTAAATGCCTTTATTTCAGACTCCTTTACCGCAAGGCTCCCATCTGCTTGCAGACGAGCAATTTTCCTGTGGTTAAAACTCAGTCAATGTGAACAGATAAAGGTGTTTTTTTTTTCTTATCGCAAACAAGCAATGAGCTGTGCTGAGTTGACAAACCCATTTGCAAAAATGTTGAGTTGGAAGAAAATTCACGTAATATGCAATTAGAGATCTGTGCCGTTCAAACTTTGAACTCAGCACATCCCAATATTTACTGATCAAACTCCCAAATCTTTACCAGAATACCCTGGGGCATATAAAAACAAGAAACAATTGAAAAAAAAATAGAAACTAGAAGCCCCTTTAGTAAATGTTTTTTGATAACATTAGACGACGTCTTGAAAGAACAACAGAGAAAGCTGTAATTATGGGAACTCACCAGTCACTCCGCAATCACGGCCACCAGGAAAACAGGGGTCACTTTTAAGGGAGGCTGAGTTTCTGTGTTCCCAAACGTCTGCACCCCATTGATCCATATTCTTACACCAGTGCAATTTGTGAGATCTGGCCAAAGAAATCTAATTGATCTTATCATCTCGCAAACTTTCACCCCTCTGTGAAAATCTTGTTAGCCAACTTACCCGATTAGCCCCCCCCCCCCCATAAATGAATAATGTCCTGTTAATGGAATGCTAAACCAGGATAAGGACAGGTGAGGCGATAATGACAAAAGATTTGCCCTCAAAAGGCACAACAAGCCACAAATCTTTGCTACATTAAACTAAATCGTAAATCAGGCAACGAGAATCAGGTAGCTAGCGGCTTTTTAAAGATGTGGCAAAAATAAAATTAATTGGACAATAAACTTATATGTGGAAATATCCCCTTTGTAATACTGTACAAACAAAAAAGGAATATTACAACATATATAAAAAGTGTCTGCTATGTTGAGAGTGTATAGCTGTGTTAATGTTCCGTTACGTCTAGTTGTATGATAATAACAATAAGGATTAGCATTTCTGTTTCGTATCCTTACTGTGCTGAAAATTTACAGAGTTTACAAATTTTAGGACAAATTATCTGAAATTAAAACTTAATGGGCATAGCGAAGTTTTCCAGTTTAATTTTTTTGTCTTAAAATTTGAAAATCACATGAAATGCGCTTGAAATTCTCTGCAATTCACACATTAGTGAATAACTCTGCATGTGCGTCTTATATTGTAGTCTGCCTGGTGTTTGTACATGTGAATGCACTGTCTATGCCTTGATTATGCCCAGGAAGTTTGAACA